TCACTTTGGGCAAAAGCCTGACTCCCCAGGCCATTGTCATGTGATGTGATATAGGCCATTGGGTTGGCTTGTGTCACGTGATTATGTTCAAAGCAAGTAGGCCAGAACACAAAATAATATGTACTTAGTCAATTTCATGTTAATTATTAATCGACAAGTGATTGATAAGCCTGATAACTATTTGTAAGAAAATTGTTCAAACTTGCATTGCTACCATTCACACAAAATTATTAAACATTTATATTATCTCAACTCACAATAAGCAAGATTGGTTTCACTAAAATTATTCCTGAGTTCTGAAAAACAGGAAAATGAAACCGTGAACATAAAATTAAAAGCAATCTTTTTTTCTATATTAAAATGAATTTTTCAGTGTGGTCTCACACTTTTGGACTCCACTGTATATTTGCACAACAAAGATTCTCATTCCTCGTTAAATGTATGGCAGGGATTTTTAAAACGCTGGGAACGCCAGTATTTTCCCAAAAGGGATCCTTAAAGCTCGTTAGCTTGTGTCAAGAGGCGCAGGAATCAAAACTGGGATGAGGACCAATGGTTAAGATAAATACCACAACCATTACAATAGTCTGAAGAAAATATAATCCTATTACCAAGCATCGTTTCATCTGGAATGACTGGACCTTGACAGCCTGCACTGCTTCATCCAGAAGCTTCTCCTGTTCATCCTGGGGAGACTGCTGTGTAGTCGGCTGTAACAGGAGGATGACAAAACACGTTAAATGATTTATTGCTTGATTTATCAGCACTTTAAAAATATAATTCAAAATATTTATATTTTAATTCTCAAACAGGATTATATTATGTCAGAAAGAAATAAGCAAGTGTATGTCAAATGCATGTGTTTACATTTGTTAAAATGAATGTGGAAATATAGAATCCCATAAGTTAAATATTATGATGGTAAATAATCACAAGATAGAAAATCATTATAAATAACCACACAAACTGTGCAAGGTGTTCAAGTCATCAGATTTACTCATGACAGATTGTATGTAGTTTTGATGTAAACATGACATGCAGCTCCTTAACAGGAGACTCAAGCGATTGTGACACATTAGTGAGTCTACAACACATGTTGGCCACGGTCTTTATTTAAGTTCATGAGCAGTAGTGTGTAGTGCAGAGTCCTCCAATTTGATGTTTGTGAAACACACACACAATATTATATTATATGATATTATATTATATTATACTATATTATATTATATGTTTACGTCTGCAAAGGAAGTGTCAAAGCCTACAGTATTGCTATATCACTTTTGAATTGAATTTGAAAGTTGATGCATTTAACTCGTTAACAGTTGACTATATTCAGACAGTTTAATTTAAAAAAAAAAAAAAAAAAGGAAAAGAAAACTGAAAAGAAGGAGAAGTCAAATGCATTGCGTTATCTGCTTCTTTTCAAATATATATAAGCTTGATATTGTGTATGATATACGTTCACTGAGTAACTATTTACTGTTTGAATGTACATTTAAGTTGAAACAACGTAATTTCTCATCTGAAGCACCGCCTTCAGAACCAGATCAGATCAGAGTGTTTCCGGACGGTGCAGACGTGTTCACATGAAGTGAGTTCGTGCACAGATACGTAAATATGTGTAAAACGATGGGCTCTGATCCTGAAGTTTGGGCAGTGCACAAACCTACACGAGTCCCACTTGTTAAGGATGAAACGAAATCACAAGCAACAAATGCAGAAAATATGACGCAGCAAAGCGGAAGATCACGCTAACAAAAGCTAGCGTTGGTTGTCAAGCTGTCATCTGTTTTGTACTTATCGGTTCGTTTGATTGCACACATAATACAGAATATCAGAGTATGGTTAATGTTTTACAAATTATATGAATGATTAAAAAAAAAATTAAACAACACACCGATCTACCCGCTTGGTTGCTTCCATTGGTTTGTTGCTGTTAGCTTAGCTAGCTACTGTCTAGGAAGCGCCAGGCCACAGTACAACTCAACTGCGTGTGTGATTTCACATTAGCTGCAGTTAGACACCTGTGGTCAGCTCCTGGCTGACACTGAAAACAAGCGGCTGTCGACAGGAAACCTGCGGATGCACAGAATGATATTGTATTTGCAAAAGTGCTTACCATGGTTCCTGGTTGTTTTCAGCAGAGTCGGAGAGCCCGGCCTGTCATGTGACTCACATTAACGATGCCTTCACACTCAGTTACCGCGAGATCAGAAGACAGGCGTGGCTCCAAGCACAACATAATTGGCTAGTTAAAGATGAATCAGATCTGCGCAGATTCGGTCAGTGGCGATCGCAATACAGTGCTTCCTGGTTACACTTCTGTCTTAATACATCACACTCCATGGTGGAATAACATATATATTTTATTTCATAGAAAGTCATTGTTTTAGAGAACTTGGATGGAGAAGGGGATATGGAATGTAGCTCAGCTAATGGATTCATCTGGAGACTTCTGTTCATAATATGTGTTTGCAGAGTCGGAGGCTGCACTCTCAGGACCGCAGCTTCTTCTGCAGCCGCACGTTGGGAGCCTTAAAAAAAAAAAAAAAAAAAAAGACAGCGCCACCCATCACAATGAACGATTGCCAAAATGCCCGATTTAGTTCTAAAAGGTGATTTCTCTCAAAATAGATATGATTTAAAAGGTTGACCCAAGGACGATTCCACACAAAGTGCTGCTTCATGTCCAAGTACCTATAATTTGAAAGTGCCCCCCTCCCCATCCAAATAGTGCTTTTTAACCAACAAGTTGAGGTTTGAAAGATTTATTCCACCCAAAATACTACTTGTTACAATGATAATAACTTAGTTGCTGAGACTTGCATTTGGGCAAATCGTGTAATTAACACTAACAGGTAAAATAATAGTGAAATCTGCTGCTGTGGCCTCTGTGGTCTGTAGATCTCAAACAGGACAGTTTGACAAGAGTTGAAAAGAGACAAAACACAAGGACAACTTAGAATTAGAATTTATTTATTTTATACAATCACACTAAATAAAAAATAAAAGCGATAACACACACACAAAACAAAACAAAAAAAAGTAAATTGGTATTGTGACCCCCACCGCAGAATCTGTGATTTCACTACCTCCTGAGAGAGACACGCAGAGATAGACATTAACACACATATGTAGATATAACACTGATGTATCTGATAAACTGTACATAGTTGACTTTTATACTCTGGAAAAACATATTTTATTTTTGACGTTTTCATGCCGGTATACCCAGTTCTGAAGTGAGCACCACTTAGTGACTGAATTGTCTGTCTTCTTTCTTCAGCTCTTTGTCCAGCCGTTTACAAAAATGCACCTCCTCATTATGGGGATGGCTCTGCTGCGTTGAATTTGTTATGTGCATCTTCAAAAAAAAGATAAAGTAATTGGTCAAATCAAATCTTTACATATCATTTTGCAAATATAAATACACATAAATTAGGCCTAATCCTAGAACTCGACTATGACATTTAGAATTTTCTGTCCTGGGTTTACTCTGTGTAATGATATAACTTCCTACAGGCTGTACAGTAGATAGAGTAGATGGTGTGGTACAGAGTGCAGAATAATCCTACATCAAAATGAAGTGTTAAAAATGCTAAATGTCTCAACATTACACAACAATGACATAATGAAAAGAATAATTATGAAAACAAAAACATGTATGTATGTATGTATGTATGTATGCATGCATGCATGCATGCATGTATGTATGTATGTATGTATGTATGTATGTAGATCATACTGTTTAACAGGCCTTTTTCATAGTAGACATCTGGACTAGTCACAGGATGAATGTGTACAGGTAGCTGATGACTGAGGTCCATAAAAGTTCTTCACAAACAATGACAGAGAACCAGCAGCATCACAAGAGGAGCTCTACTAAGAGGATTAAAGCCAGAATTATTACACCTCTGTTTTCTCTACTGGGACAAGTTCAAATACCTGCACTGAAAACTTTACAATTATTAACATAATTAGAATTCTAAAACAATGAGTATACAAACAAGCATCAACACTGGAGGTTATCACTGCTTCATGTAGCTGACAGTTATCATTTCACCATGCTTCTATCATCTGATCAAGTTTCATTAATGTCGTCTGTAGTTAATCATCATCATCTCTGAGCTCTGCTGCCCAAATCTCACCATGACCCAGTTTAACATATAAGCAAATAAGCTAAACGTTGGTTTTACAGCAGCGGTTAGTCGTTAAAACGTGACTGTTTGCAGGTTTAATGACGACTTAAAAGACATCATTTTTCTCACAGTTCAGCAAGTTACCAACAACTTTGTTGTGCAAATGAAGACAGCAGAAATGTTTAGAACGTTAAACAAAATGAGCATACAGCATATAACTTACTGTAATCACCACGTCTCAACTAAAGTGTTTGTCTTTTACTGTAATTCAAAAAGTATCCATGTGAAAATGAATGAATGGTGCCAACAGTATTATGATTTTAACCTTTCATTTTTTTATTTTTTTTTAGTTTCCCCACACAACACATCACAAATGCAGTTCAAAATCAAACAAGACCTCATGCGCTGAATATGGGGTGTGAGGATAAAAGAAAAATTAACAGTTTTCTTACAGACTTACAGTGATGGGTCCAAGCGTGTAAATAACAACAACAACAACAAAAAGAAAAAACAAATAAATCACAGATCATTCACTGAAATCAACGTGGAACGTCAGTAACTTTCTTCACCGTGTTGGACTCAAGATTGAACTACAATCTGTTCATGGAGTTCTATTAATTACCTGCAGAGGGCAGCAAAACAACTTTTCTGTGTCTAATCTGCTGTAAATTACACAAGAAGAAGAAGCAAACGCGGAAGAAGAAGGAGGAGGAAAAAGAAGACGAAGAAGAAGATTGTAAACCCAGCCGCGATCATTCGTTATTTAATTTGCTAAAACAACTCAGTGATTTGAGAAAACTCAAGACTCGACGGTGTTCTAACCCAGACAGTGAAAACACGACATGGCGACAACCATCAGCACTCAGAGGGGACAGGTAATAGCTCGGTGTTCGTTCATCATCATTTGATAATTAGCTAACTTTAGTCTCCAAATAACAACATACAGTTCAACACCCACAACACTCATCGTATCACCTACACTGTTAGTAGCGGGGTAATATTGAGTTTAGTCATTAACCAGCGAACCTTAGTTTAGGTTAGCTAGCTAACTGCTGCGTATGTACGGATTAAGCCAAGTTAACATCAACAGCGACGTGCAGAGTTTCCTGTGCCAATGGCTGCCACACAAACCCAAAGCACAAGATTCGCACCACAATGTTTAAAAGCTGGCAGGGCCTTGTTGAGATTGCAGGTAAGGTTTTCTTATGACTCTTAATGTTGACCTAGTTGCTGCACAGTGGGACGGAGCAGCAGCACTTCCGTCTCGTCCTGTGCAATCTGTCGATCCTGCAGATGTTCACTTTTATGTAAAAACGTTCTTGGTCCTCTATACCTTGCCTTGGCCTCAAAAGTTGCCCTAATCTTTTGTTTCTTGATGCTGAAAGTACCCTGATGTTTGCACTGTCTTCCCATGTTTTACAAGTAGAGGTAACTTCATTTTCACGTCGTCAGTCACTTGGCTTGACGAGCTTATGGTTACTGCTTGATAGTGCGAAGTTGGAAGAGTCAGTTCTTTATTTTCTTTGTATATCAAGCCCTTAAAAAAAAAAAAAAGATAAGCAACATGGCATTATTGGCTTCATAAATCTGTTCACGTGACTGCATTGTAGTCATTCAGGCAGAGGTCACATTTCCTATAATGTTCCAGACATACCCCCACAGTCATGGAGAGAGCCACAGCACACACAGTATTTGTCATTAAGGTGAGGTTAGACAATACTCCAAATAATGTAAAATGAATCGTCTGTCCATATTTGATGGTAATCTACCAGCTACTTTGTCAACAGTAAAGAGCAGTGTGACCTGCTGACTGATCCTGATCGATCCTGTCTCCATGTTAGGCATGATTTCTAATTCAGACTAATTAATGACGATACTGCAGTTGCTCTGTGTGTAAATGGACACAGCTCTCTCTCTCTTTGAAGACGCTCATATGGATTCTGCAGATATTTAATAAACTCAAACAGTAATTTAACAAGACTCTATTTCTGTAGAATAATTTGACACTATTTGAATTACTTTCACTTTGGCAGCCTGAGGGTCATCTAAAAGAGATGGTGTGGTTGGACATTGATTATGTTATTAAATTACCAGTATATGTAGATATCTATTCTCCAACCATGCAACCCTTACCATTTGTAATAGGAAATTTAAGCTTAAATTTATGTTAGAAGATCTTAGATTAGTGTTAGCATGAGGGTCAGGTTGCTAGCTAAAATGGACAGCTGCCAGATGCTTTTTTTCCCACAACAATGCTGCCGATATCATCAACACATCTGCCACAGATAGCAGTTAGACAGCAGGTGGTTTATGGATCCTAATGTGTGGACAGCAATCACATCTGTAACTCTATCTCATTTACCAATAAGAGGCACCATCTGGTGGCACAGGCAGGTACTACAGCTATGCTGCCATACATTTTCTGACATACATGCCTCTGGTCTTATTTTTTTTTGGTTATTATATTTTTAATTGATTCAATTATTCTTCGTTATGAATAGATTAACATGTAATCACTTACATCCCTAAAAACTGCGTGATATTAGATCTGAAAATCTAAGATTTCTTCATGTTCTAATTTCGACAAGCTATTATGTTTATACAACATCAACATGTCACAAACCACAAATGAGTTTAATCATTCTGATAGCTTGCTGAATTGTAGGTTGAGAGAGAAAGAAAATATTGATTCCTGTTGGGGTATTTCTCCAAAGTCAAATTGCCCTGGTAGGCCAAATGTGTGTTGTTGTTGTTTTTTTTTTTTTTGTTTTTTTTTACAAAGACATAATTTCAGTGCATGTAATTCTTAATATAAAATTATCTAAATATGATGTATGCTTCAAACAAGAAGCTTCCAGGATACTCTAATGAGAAGAATTTTGACCTTACTGTAAAAAAAGACTAATTGCCCTTACTGCCTGATGTGCATGTGCAAATGCATAGAGATTGCTACTTTGACTACCTTGGAGGTAGAATTTGCAGATATAAGTGTTTGGTGTGTGTCTTCTGTGCAACAGCTAATTAGCTCAGTCGCTTTGGCCCCCACTTGAACCATTGTTTTTCTTTTTGCTTCCCCAGCATTTTAAAGTAGACGTGTGCAAACTGTGATATTAGAAGGATTTTAATTTGGTCTAGGCGAAATCAAATTTTTAGTTCTGCCCAGGCACATTTGAAATCTGCCTAGACCAAATCAAAATTTTAGTCTCGTCGCTGCCTCCTTTATATTAAACTCCGTTAAGTTTTAGGTGAGGTCTCTCCTTTAAACTGGTAGCTTCAATGTATGTTGGAGGTGCTGACAAGAGTCCAAATGATAATGAAGATACTCGCCTTTTATGAGTGGATTTCCTGTACGCTGTGGTCTTATGATCCCATCAACCTTCATTTAAATACAGGTCTCGGAATGGCATTTCTCATGTTGTGTACCAGTAGTTTCTGATTTGCTCCCATTATGCTTGAGAATGAAGTTGAAAATGAAACAGCCATTTAATATAGGGGACGCAGTACTGATGTCATGCAAACGCACACATCTGTCTGTGCTGTACTTCATAGCACCTCCAAAATACATTCAAAATTTACCAGTGCAAAGTATCCATTTACATCTAAATGTATGTACAATGTTAAAGAACTTTACATGTGATAGTCTTCATGAACCACCACATACGGCCACTTTTGGCTGTGCTGATATGATGGGTAATTTTCGACTCACACAATTTAAGACAGGAGTTTCTCATATTTTCTATCACTTTCTGGTTTTAGATTATACTTGCATGGAGACATAAACATACACATAAAGAAACATACATAAAAATGGACAGCCACTTCAACCCCAAATCCTTAAAACCATCCTGGCGCTACATCTGGTGTTTGTGGTGATGGGTCAAATTATAGGACTCAAAACTTAAAACATTACTCAAAACAACATTACACCCAGGTGTGTACTATCTATGTTATTAAAATTCCATTATAAATCCCCATCTCCCACTCACCCCTTTACCTAGTTTATTCATATACAAAAAACACTTTTGAGTACATTTATAGGTAAAATCCAAGAACACCTTATCAATAGTTTTCCTAAAATCAGCAAACATGTTTACTTTTAATTGAAACTACTACTAACACAGTGTGATAAAGGCTAGTCCCTAAAATACATTAAGTTAGGCATATCAGGTTTTACTGGCCACCTGTCTTAGTTATGTGTTTTCTCTTGTATGTGTGTATACAGGTGTACATCGGGGAGCTTCCCCATGACTTCCTGCGAATCACCCCAACCCAGCAACAGCAGCAGGTACAACTGGATGCCCAAGCAGCCAGACAGCTGCAATATGGAGGCTCAGTAGGCACTGTAGGGCGACTCAGCATTACTGTGGTCCAGGTAAATACAGCCCAGCTTCATCAATAACCCTACATCTGGTTTTCATTCAAATATTGGTATCAATATGAAGGAGTGGGCCTTCTGGCCAGAAGAATGTGACTGTTTTGAGTCAGAATCATGATCCATAGTCTGATTCACAATTCCCTCTAAAGATTTATTTGAACTTGTTTGTTCGCATGATGAATTGTGTACATGGTTGCCTAGATACAAAGCTTTTCACATGAAGTCGCGACACATCACATGGTTGGATTGAGCATGTAGCATTGTATGCTGCTTCAACACAATGCTTTCACTATAGTCAGTGAAGGTGCATGCAGCAGGATTGTAACAAACATAAGTGGTGCATATGCCCTATAGAAATCCACACTGTAAACGTAAAACAAGACCGGTGTTCTAATAATACATTTTACGTGAGTTATTCACAGCCCTTTAACACAGTAATCGGTCATAAAGTGTCTGCCATATTTTAAATGAAGCTAAAGGCATAGAGGAAATGACAACTTTGATTTAAACAGGGCTTCACTTTGGAGTCTTGATCACCAGGTGTATGTCAGTAGTTGCCAGCTGACGTTTGCCTTTTAACTTTATGCCGTAAAGATGTAGAAGATTTTAACTTACCCATTATAACAAACTTGGTGAAAAACTTTGTTTCACAGCACAGTAGTTGGTCCAAAAACTGAAGTCAGCAACGGCAAAACGAAGCCCACTGTCTTGTTTTGCTACACCCCTATGGGACAAGTCTATGGGATACGTTAAAGGTTTAGCGTAGCCATGGTATAAAGGCTGAACTCAGAAATATCTAACAGGATTTAAATATTTAAGGCCTTTATTTGTCACAAACTATTGATAATGTATATCCTGTTTTTGCTCTGATTTTATCTAGAAAGTGTGAAGTGAATTGGTGATTCATTTTTCTGCTGCTTTAGTGCTTCTTTTGTGATCCTTACTGCTATCCTCTGAACGACATGTTGACTTCTGCTTGTACAATAAGTAACACCTCCAAGATGGTGCTTCCAATGGGTGTTGTCCTAGTAATGTAACAACCAATCATGTTTTTGCGGACGAAGAAAGTTTGGACAACGATCTTATGTTCTTATTTATTTTAATTATAGCTCTGTATGGTTCCGCTGTGAAGCAAATTAAGCCAAAGTAGTATTGCCCACAATATAAGATCATCAAATTTCCAACCCCCACCAGTAACATGTACTTCTAACATATAAAAAAACATTATGAATGACTGCAACTTAAAACATTTTTACGGCCATCTGGTATTTCTACAAAGATAATTCAGCTCTCCAAGTATACAAATACCATCATCTTTTTGCAGATGTACAATGTTTAAGCTAAGCTGGATTTAATATAACAGCATGGTAATACCAGTTTGTACCAACTGCTTATTGTACATTTGAAATCAACCATGCAGTGAATACACTTGAATATGAATTGCACTCAAAAGATTTTGATATTAGTCCTGTTGTGCTTGAACAGAGCTTGGTATGGTCATGCACATGCCACAGGTCCGGGCAGCAACTCATCACTCAGATCAGTGCATGACAAAGAGTGATCCACATTAAAAATTTGCAGTGTCACCATGCACCTGCAGAAGCAGCACTGTGGCAAAGTCTGGGAAGATCTCTGTAAACAACCCAACCTTTATGTTGAGGATCATTACTGGTGGCGAGAGTTGCATCTCAGACTAAGAGGCAGAGTTCAAAGTCTTGTGTTTACAGTGAAAGTGACTGCAGTCTCTGAGCAAGAAGGTATGTCAGGTCAGGAGTGCACTGGGAGCATGCTTATTGTTTTCTTTGGCATACACAGAACTCTACACTGAGTGCGTCTCCCGTGGTCAGACTGTTAATGCTGCATACTACTCTAAGGTATTGACATGTATGAGGGAGAACATTCAGTGAAAACCACTTGAATTGTGGTACAATTATCCTAGCAGGTGCTTCATCACAAAAACACACCTGTTTTGACACAGTGGAGGAGATCTAGTGTGCATCACAGATGGTCTTTGACATGCTTACAGAACCAGAGTTTCAGGAAGTGTTCAAAGCATGGTGGGAGCGTTGACAACAATATATTGTCACACAAGGTGACTTGTATGAAGGGGTTTGTGACCACATTTTATTAACTTGTGGAATTTGCTTTTTATAGGCATAAATCCTAAAGTTTTTGATTGCACCCCTTACATAGGCCAGCTGGACTGTGTAACGGCCAGCTTGAATGTATCACCTAATGGAAACCAGCTTGTTTATTTCATTGTATAGGCCAAGCTGGCTAAAAACTATGGCATGACCCGAATGGATCCATACTGCAGGGTCAGACTGGGTTATGCAGTCTACGAGACACCAACTGCTCATAACGGAGCCAAGAATCCTCGCTGGAACAAGGTGATTCAGTGCACGGTGCCTCCTGGGGTGGACTCTTTCTACCTGGAAATCTTTGATGAGGTGAGGAGATGGGGAAGGTCGGAGAGACCACAGAAAATTTACTGTACATATGTGAAAACTGTTTATATATATATTTATATACAATATTAATTACATATAATTAGATGCCTGTTGATTTAATTTTGTTATTCCCTCCTGCAAATTGCAAAAATAGACACTGCTTTGAACATTTTAAACTATTGTTCTTTTTATTATTTGGGTAAATGTTAATTAAACTATTTTACTTGAGAAGAGCTGTAGGTCACTTGGAATTTTGCATATCTGATTCTTTTTTCAGTCAATTTGGTAGTCTTTCTCTACATTTCTATTTACCATTAGATTGCCCCAACTGTATAACACTAAATGAAAATTGCAATAGTTCTTTCTCACGATGTACCTCTATATATAATATATATAAAATCTTTCAAGACAAGATTGCTGGTCTAACAAAAACTGCTGTTTGAAATGTTTTTGATTGAATATGTTACGGTTTCACTTATTTCTGACTGTCACATGTTACCTCAGGTAATTCCCATGTTTTCAACAAGTCTAGTGACAAAACCACTGTTGCTCTATGAATGTTATGAACTTGTGTAATTAATCGATGACCTTAGTTTGTCAGATAATCAATGAGTGTGTTGTTTAAAAAAATCTGTTGTGCAATCGTGATATCTTGTAAATGTATGCTTGCACAGCAGTTCTTACAGTTCACTCTTAACACCAAACATGGTTGTTGATGAGCCAAAACACAACTGCTCTCATACATTGTCTCATCTCACAACTGTGATGCATGACAAGGTTGACGACGTGGTTTTTAATCGTTATATATTTTAAAATGATCTCAGCAGTGTATCAAGCAATGCATTGTCAACCTCAATTAAGCAATCATTGTCAGCAATGTCAAATATTTTACATTGCTGTTGATTCCCCTCAGCACTATTGGCATAATTATCACAAAGGGAGGGGACTGTCGAATGCAGAAAAATAAGAAAATGTACAATAAGTATGTGCAAAATTAAAGTCACTCAAGGCAGGCACTGAAGGCAAGTTTGGATCAGAAGCTTTTTTGGATTACACTGAGTCAAATGCCAAAAAAATAATCCTGTCCTCAGTAGACTAATAAAAGAAAAAGAATTGGAGCTGATGGAATAATTCATTTAATTAAACATTTTTTTGGGACCGATTTTACCATCAGCATTATCCTTTTGTCACTGGAACAATGTCCCTTCACAAATGTAATCTGTTTGCTTTATGCCTTTTTGAATCTGTGTATATAATGATTTGTCAGCCTTCAAGTTCCATGGGTTTTTTTTATGTGTTTTTGCTCATGTCCAGAGAGCATTTTCTATGGACGATAGGATAGCATGGACTCATGTCACCATCCCTGAAGGCCTGAGGGAGGGCAACGTGGTGGATGAGTGGTTCAGCCTTAGCGGCAGGCAGGGCGACGACAAGGAAGGCATGATCAACCTGGTGATGTCTTTTGCTGTGAGTACATTTACAGACAAGCAGGAAGTTACTGTGAGATTATCAGTTGAATCAGATGGAAATTCACTGGTAGACTTGTCAGTATCGATGTACATTTTATGTCACTCGTGTCATTCTGTATAAAATTAACCTAATCTTTTTGGATTTTTTTTGGTATACAGTAAATTTTCTATATTTATTAAAGCCCAAATTTTACCTTCATACTATTTATATTTTCAGATTTATAGGTCCTCATAAGGGTGCGTTGAAATGTTGCACTTTTAATTTGCATTCATTTTTTTTTTTTACAACATCCACTCCAGGTGTTAGAATCTAAAGCCGAAATTTCCTTTTTGTTCAGCTTGATTTTCTTTTTCTACAACCAACTTTGTACGTCAATATCATAGGATGTATCATAATTTCAAAAGCAGAGCTGCAGCAGGTTCATGGCAACGGGCACTGGTACCCTGGAAGTTTTACCTGGTATCTGATAATTTACTGGAGGAAATTGTGAAAAATGCATTTCAGGTAAACTTTCAGGGGTCATATAAGCATATGGGGTTGGGGCTTTGTCAGACCATTTATTTATTTATTTATTTATTTATGTATGTATGTATGTATGTATGTATGTATTTATGTATTTATGTATGTATGTATGTATGTATGTATGTATTTATGTATTTATGTATGTATGTATGTATGTATGTATGTATGTATGTATTTATTTATTTATTTATTTATTTATTTAGGCAGGACCATTTTCTAGCCACCATTCCTTCATATACAGTGCTATAAAAAAGTATTTTGTGATGTCTTCTATTTTTGCATATTTGTCACATTTAAACGTTCCAGATCATCAAACTAATATTTAGATTTATTTAATGTTAGACAGAGATAACCCACAAAATACAGCATGCAGTTTTTAAATGATTTATTGAAGATTTATTGAAAACCTATATCATGCCTGTGAAAAAGTAACTGACCCACTAAACCAAATAACTGGTTGGGCGACCCTTGGCAGCAACAGCTGCAGTTAAACATTAGCGATTGCTTGTGATCAGTCTTTTACATTTCCATGGAGGAACTTTGGTCCACTCTTATCTGCAGAATAGTTTTAATTCAGCCACATTAGATGGTTTTTGAGCATGAACTGCCCTTTTAAGGTCTAGCTACAGCATCTGAATTAGATTCAAGTCCGGTCCACTCCTAAAGACAAATTTTGTTCTTTTTGAGCCATTCAGAGATGGACTTGCTTGTGTGCTGTTGGTATGATGTTCTTCTTGTGGAATGAAGTATTAACTTTACACCAGATGTAACTGGGCGTATGCATTCCACAAAGTTCCACCTTTGACTCATCAGTTTACAGGATGTTATCCCAAAAGTCTTGGGCCTCATCTAGATATTTTTTGCAAATGCCAGATGAGTCTTTATGTTCTTGTTGGTCAGGAGTGGTTTGCATCTTGCAGCTCTCCCATTAATCCATTTCTGGCCAGCACCTTTCTTATTGTGGAGTCATGTATGCTGACCTTAACTGAGGCAAGTGAGGCCTGTAGTTGTTTTGATCTTCGTCTGGATTCTTTTGTGACCTCCTGGATGAGATGTTGATGTGCTCTTGGAGAAATTGGGTCGGCCGGCTACTCCTGGGAAGGTTCACCACTGCTCCATGTTTCTTCATTTGTGGATAATGATTCTCACTGTGGTTCTCTATAGTCCCAGAGCCCTATCAATGGCTTTGTAACCCTTTCTATACTGATAATTGTCAGTGACTTTGTTTCACGTCTGTTCTTGAATCTCTTTAGAACGTGACATCATTTGCTGCTTTATGAGACCCTTTAGCTACTTCACAATGCCAGACAGGTTTTATTGAGGTGAAGTTTAGATTCCAAAAGCGTGGCAGTAATTATACATGGATGTGGCTGGTGAAAATGAACCCAATTGCCAAAATATGTGAGGTTATTTGATGGACTGGTAGCTAAGGGGGCAATTACTTTTTCACATCGGGTAAGGTGGGGCTGTACAGTATTTTTCTTCAATAAATGAAATCAGATTTAAAAACTGCATTTTATATTTTCTTGGGGTTTCTTTCTCTAATATTAACATTACTTTGATGATCTGAAATATTTATGTGTGACAAATATGCAAAAATAGGAGATATCTGTAGGGGGCCAATACTTTTCCACAGCACTGTATGGACATATTTTGACACTTGCGAAATGTGAAACTTGAGATTATATTTGGAAGGAAGAAAATAAGATTGTGATAATCCTAAGTAAATGAGGACAATGTAATTGTAAAAAAAGACAAGTGTTGGATACCAAAATTACACATCATCACTGTTCACAATCTGAGGTTGGAAAAAGGCCAACAGTACAAACTGACAGAACAGGAACTAAATATCATCAGAAAGACTCTCAAACAAACACTGAATGCTGCAAACTGATTTGATCAGTGTTTTCCCTCTATTTCACAGCCATTAGCTACATTTGCAAATGTTAAAATGAGCCTGGTATCAAAACTGTAACTTTTCATTTTCTGTAACTTGTTCTGACCAGCCACCTACCCCACATGCTTATATGCCCCTTGAAAGTTTACCCACAATTAACTTTTCAAAGGGTACCAATACTTGTTCCATGACTGTACGTCATAAGACATTAAATCCTAAAGTAATGGTACAAAGAACAATCCGCTAATTCTGAGGGGTCGCTTGGGATGCATTGATTGATTGATTGATTGTTTTAATTTTTATTTTTTTTAAATAAATTAATTACCTTAGTAGTTACTTTGTAACTTTGCAACTTTTTTCAACTTTTTAAGTTAATCTAAGTCTCTCATCTTCACAAAATGTTTATGTCGAGTTTCTGCTCAAAATACTGCACAGATTGTTTAGTTCTTCCATGTCTATAATACCACTGGTTTTATTTCCAGACATGGTTTCTGTAGCTTTAAATTAAACTGAGACTGTTCCATGCAGAAGGCCATAAGCCTGCATCTACTCCGTTCAGTGAGTGGCAGACAGGAGGCGGGGCCAGCTGGGCATAGAGACTATCCTGTTGTGACATCACAGAAGCACTGAAAGAATCTGTTAGTGCTATTTTTGAAACTCCAGTGTGCAAATACCACATTTCCAGAGGCAAAGCAGTGCATCTGTTTCAAACTGGTACATTTTAAACAGGCAATGGAATTACGAGATCATCTTTAAAGTGATCTATTTGCAGCAGTTGGTGGCTATGCTACAGAAGTGGGGCTCTCATTTATTGCAGAACTGGTGGTTTGATCACCAGCTCCTTCTGTCAGCAGGTCAAATTGTCCTCTAGTAAACACTGAATTTTCCATTAGAATTTTATTTTAGCCTATGCAGGAAAAAGTATACAACCACCGTTCAATACAGCTACACAGTTGTATTTGTCACTGTTAGTAAGCCTGAGCCTCAAAAGAACAACATGACTAAGCAACTATCAGCTCATAGCTACTGGCAAATCGATCTCGACCAGGGGATCGAGACTCTGACGGGGAAGCTCTGTTTGATACAAGCACCGCTATAGCGGTAGTTTGATTTAAAGAAAATAGAGACTTTATTACACATTTCTGTGTAGAAGGGGGAATAAAACTGTTAATCTTTTTCTGTATTTTTGTGCTAGTCCTTACCAGCAGGGATGATGACTCAGTCTGTTGTCCTAATGCCCTCTGTGTATCAGCAGGGAGTGGGATATGTGCCCATTGCAGGTAATACACATGCACATCAATATATTGAAGCTCTTTTGTTCAGAATGTTGAATGTCTTATATGTGTCTATAGAGAAACCTTTTTAAAAAACAAAATTTCATGATGCCATAGAATGTCATTAGATTCATTGTAGTTTATCCTTCTGAACTATAAATTTGTACAGAAAGCCCCATTAGAATACTTGGACTGTATGCATTTATTTACATTTATTTTTCAGACCTTTCAAATTTTGCATCTGCAATCTAGCTTTTGCATTAACAGTATGTACTGTGTTTCTAGGAGTGCCTGCAGTCTACAATCAGGGCATGGTGCCCATGGCAATGCCAACAACCATGCCAGCTGTTGGGGGCCAGGGGCCAGTGTGCAGTGAGGAGGACCTGAAGGCTTTGCAGGACATGTTTCCTAACCTGGATAAGGAGGTGGTTCGCACTGTGCTGGACGCACAGCAGGGAAACAAGGACGCTGCCATTAACTCTCTGCTTCAGATGGCTGAGGAGCTCTAACTGCAGACTACACTGAGAATGGACATGCCAACATACAGATCTGCATGCACACAGATATTAAAAAAAAAAATAGCCTTCACTCACAGAGAGGCTGCCCACCCTTTTACAAACATACACAGTCCCCCCACAGTGTGACTTTCTTTCACCCTGTAGCCATGTCTAAGCTCCCACCAGCGCCACCAGCTCACAGAGATCTGTTTCGTCTCCCCTTCCTTGTCAGCCAACCAGTACAAATGAAGTATGGACTGTCTCTGCTTCCACACAGCTCTCTGTCCCAACTGCTACTTGATGATCAGCTCCCTTTGGTTTTAGTATTTTGTTGATTTAAAATTATGGTATATCAATGGCAGTTGTATTTGGCTAAAGGGTTGTATAACAGTAGAGACTCAAACTACACGTTGGGTTGGCAGTAAATCTTACTAGCTCACATAATTTTGTGTTTCTTGAATGTTTCATTGTCATAGTATTTTACTGTAGCCATGCTATTCCTCACACTGATGCTAGTGTTTGATTGACATCGTTTGAGCTGTAGTAAATCCATCTTCCATTTATGTTGATCCTTTCCTCAATAGTATGCTTTGCACTTGTCTGTTGTAACTTGCAATGACCTACATGTGGTTCATATGTTGCCGTAAAATGTTTAGGGCATCTGCAATCTAATTAATCATTCTGGATCTATTAAATTATATAGAAATTTGCATGTGACTGGAGATTTGAGGATGAATGAATGACTGAATTAGAAGAAACCTGTTTAAAAGGAAATATCCCAGCTGTACACCACAGCCCTCCACTCAGCCATCTTTCACAATGATAGCAAAATTCTTTCGCAATGTTTTTATGTAACCCCTTTTCAGTCTGAGTAAGGATATGACGATTCTGTTATAATGTAATGCCCTCTGGAGTCACTTTTCAAATGAGCTGTGGAGTTTTAAAGATGCAGTGTGAAAATGAAGATACTTTGAAGCTTTCAGGATGTTGTCTGTAGAGTTTTGGAAACCAACAACACGTCCATCTGCTTCTTGATTGGCTAAACAGCAACAGCTGTTCTCAGAAGCACTTTTTGCCTCTCGAGCTGTGAGGCCAGAGTGACCAGACTTGAGATGAAATGCCCCCACCTTCTTACTGTAGGGCCATCATCAGGTTCAAACTTGTACGAATAAAGAAAAGATTTTGGGAGCTTGTTTATGCTTCATTGTTGGCTATATCAGACAGCAGCTTCTATCAGTATGAGCACATAGTGTTTTTCAGCGGCTGTATTTGCATGTGTTGTAGCGCCTAAAGCTTTCTGTTATCTTAAGTTTGGTTGTTAAAGCACTGTCTGCCAAAGGTCTCATTTAAGTGAGGTTGGCTGAATGTTTGAGGTGTGACTCCAAAACTGTTGCTGTAGATTTTAAAAAAAAATTGTCATGTGAGTTTGTTGTTTTTAAGTCTTAAATTAAATTTTCAGATTTAAATTTATTGACATTCCAGCAACTGCAAAGTTTTAAGTCAGAAGAGAATAATAAGTATCGCAGAGTATTTTTGGAGCAATGTGCACTCAGCTGATATCAGTTAGTTTGTTGTGAGAATGGAAAGCCTTTCTGTGAGGTTATGCCCCTCAAAATGTCATACTGTCATTAAAGTATTTGAAACAAAATGTTTTGCTATTCACTTCCAATATACAGACTGCAGTGTTCTTCAGTGTGTGTATGTTCTTTGATGTACATAATTCCCCAAAAAGAATGTTCATGCAATCATTCATGTTGCAGAAATATTTTAATAAGCATAATAACAAGAAAGCTGAAGGAAGTTTATATCAAAGTAGTGTGGTTTGACACTGAAAAGGAGAATGCGTCTGGTTATAAATAGTAAAAGTTGACAATGAAGAAAGGTTAAGCCTGGCCTAACATAAAACACCAAGTAACTAATCAGCGTCTCCTGCGCTGTTGCGGTTTGGACGTCGTCCCTGTCGCACATTCTGTTTTGCTGCAGCGGCACGTCTGCACCTGGGTGTAGGAGTGCTGGACTTTGGATCCATCACTGCAGGATAGCTCCACCTGCTTCAGACTGGTGCTTGCCTCCTGGCAACACTCACATTGACGTATCATGGTGTTAGCTGCTGCAGAATACCTACACAAACACACACAGATCACAGCTCTTATTCTCTTCACTGGTAACAGTAAGTCATGAACATGAGGGTGTACAGTTGAGAACAAAAAGAGAGCAACAGATTTATTAACTCATCATTTCTAAGCACAGCAGTTTCATTTAGGAAGCTTATGTTATTTTAGTTTGAACACAGAATACACAATTGTTTCACAAAACTCCAAAAATACCAAAATCAAAATTATTAGGTCCCCTGATGCTAATACTAAACTGTATTCATTTTGTTGGATAACAGTCTGCAGTGGTTTGACGTCTTTGGGGGTATGGAGGGATCCCTGTCCATTCTTCCTTGGTCAGTCTTTCAAGCTTTTCCAGATGGACCCTCGTCTTAACTTGTTTCATATGTTAGAAAGCTGAATTCCACCTGAGATGACTGCAGTGAAAACTAAGTGGTCTTGCTGCTTATATTAAAGGTAAAATATGGTGCTGGTGGACTTACTTAGATGAACTTCCACAGTGTCCGGCACAGAATGTGATGTTGACTGGTTGCAGGCTCTTGCAACTGTTCACTTCAATGACTGTCTGCTCACTCTGGACCTCACAGACACTCTGAAGCTTACCTGGAACACATGACACACAGGTTTGTCCTCTTGTACACTGTCTGTGCTTAAAATGAATTCATAATTTTATCATTATTTAAATAACTAACAGGTTTTGCAGCATCCATTGGTGTCAGTTGATTCAGTGCCCTGGAGGAGAAATGACACATTTCAAATTGTGTGTTAGACATTGGCAGTATGTGCTGAAGCAGAAGACAAGGAGAGAGATTTAATAAACTTACAGGTACACAGTCCAGGGGGTTAAAGGGAGGACAGGTGGTCTTGATTTTCTTTGTGGTAACCTGTCCATTGACCTTTTCACAAGTATACTGCATGCACTTATCAGCAGGGGATACATAAGTGTTGTTCACCTGTACCAACATAAAGAGTGGAGCTGAGTCACATCAGCTACTCAACAAAGCAATCATCATTTTTGAGTCATAAAAGCAGCCCCATCATTATTAGTACATCTCAGGAATAGAATGTTAAGAACTAGTGTAACTGAATGTAGGTGTATTTAACAGCTTCTGGTATCTCTCAAAAACGTAAAAAACTATAAATTATGATTCTTTGTCTTTTTAAGGTAAAATACATTGCTTTATCTGTCTATGAATCATTAGCTAGCAAAAATTAAATAAAGAAAATAAAATATTCACATATTGTTGAAGGCATATTGCTGCACTTAATATCCCTTTTCTCATTTTCTTGCCTATTAAATATAAAGAAATACAAAGTTGCAGTACTGACCTCAATGATATGTACTGTCAGGTTGCCAGGTGTAGTGAAAATACAGCTCTTTTGGACACACGTCCCACAGCACTTTCCAGCAACAGTCTGATATTCGTAACCCTTGAGACAAAGTGAGGGAGACAATTTTTTAAAAAAGAAAAAAGAGAACACATCTTTACCTTTGTAAGAAAATGATACAGCGTGCAATGCATCTTCACTTTAGTGTGCTGTAAAATGGTCAATATTGATCTCTTGTGAATATCATCTATTTTGAGCTTCAAAATGTATTATTTGTTCTGCTGTCACAGCAGCCCATTCCTGTTGCACAAATTCAAACAAATTTGCTTTGTTTTTGGGGCTTGTGGTTCTTCATTTTGTGTTTGATGATTTTCCACAAGTTTTCAGTTGGATTTAGATCTGGTGATTGATCAGGCCAAGGCATGGTTCTAATGTTCTGGTTCTCCATCCAGGCTTTAACTGACCTTGCCGTGTGGCAAGGGGCATTGGCTTGTTGGAAAATCCAGTCATTCGAGGCAGGACAGAATTTTCCAGCTGATGGAAGAAGACTGTTTTCAAGAGTAGCCCTGTACATGACCTGGTTCATTGGCCCTTCACACAATTGCATTTGAAGAGAACCTTAGCCCAATCATCAACAGTCCAATCCATGTGATCCCCAGCAAAGAGTAACCTGGCTTTCCTCTGCCTTTCATTGATGAAGGGCTTCTTTCATGCCCTGTGTGACTTTAGACTAGCTTCAAGAAGTCGGTTTCAAACTGTCTTTGCCCAACAAATCACATTTCTTGACAGTGCCCACTCATTTTTAAGGTCCCTGGAGGTCTGACGACAATTCCTGACACAGGAACGGATGAGTGCACGGTCATCTCCTGCCGTAACCAGCTGGCAATTAGGTAGCACCATGTTGGGCTTGTTTTTTCTGAAGGGTTGTCTTGGAGATCTTCAGTTTTTTCGCTACCTGTCTCTCACTCATGTCAATTTCCAGCAGTGCCAAGTTGGCTACTTTTGTGGCTTCACATAACTCTTTTGTTTTAGGCATTATGTGAGAACGGAATAAGCAGGAAACCACTCTAGGCCTTTACATGTGTAGTGCTGCTTATGACATGAAATGGCCTTTTATATACCCTGGGAATACAATTAAGCTTAAGCATGTTAAATAGGACATAAAGAATTACGTAATTCAGCTGCATATTTTGTCCTGTTCATTGTATTCTTTAGGTAATATACCTTTAGTGGTACCAGGCATTAGAAAACAAGGGTGGTCTAATAATTTTTTCCATGACTGTATATAAAGAGAAACTGTTGAACATCAAGTTAAAAAAATATATAAACGAGACACTGAGGACTCCCAGAGAAAGGAGGTTTACAGGTGGGAATCAAAACAACAAGCGTCACACTCACACACATCTGCCCCTACACAATCATTAAGGCCACCCAGAAAACCACGTTTGCGCAATGCCAAGCGCCTCGACAACAGAGAGGACATGGCAGCCGTGACGAGTCTTCCATGGACAGTGACAGCGACCCTGGAATTCCTCCGAGCGACCACACTTTATTAGACAAACCAAAGAATTGGGACCAATGGGGAAGAAGAAATGTAGATGGGGATTACGCGCATCCAGATACCGGACACCGGCGGCGGACCCGCAGCCGCTCAATGAAACGGTAATTAACATTTCTTCGAAGGAGTTATCAAAAGATCAGCTTTTCCGATTGATTTTTTGGGGTTTAAAATTAGATCTTAAATTACGCCACTTTCCTCCTAAAAACACAAGCTCTACTACAAATGCACCTTCTCTGACCTTTAAAGACAAAAGCATCCCAAGTCCAAACATGAACACGACAGGGGACACCCTGGACAGGTCGCCAGTCTATCACAGGGCTACACTTAGAGACAGACAACCAAGCACACTCACATTCACACCTACGGACAATTTAGAATCACCAATTAACCTCAACATGTTTTTGGACTGTGTGGGAGGAAGCCAGAGAACCCGGAGAGAACCCACACTGCACGGGGAGAACATGTAAACTCCACGCAGAAAATCCCGGGTGTCCTAACCTAGAACCTTCTAACTGTGAGGCGATGATGCTAACCACCACCCCTCATTAAAAACATATCTCACCTTAATGATTTGCCTGTAGATGTCCTATTACTGACTCTTGACATTACAGGCCTTTACACCAACATACCTCACGATGGTGGTTTGGAAGCTCGAGTTATGGGAATCTATTTGTGGGGCTCTTTGAAAGGATTTTTGTCATTAGCCCAGTTTAGAAAACACCTAAATCAGTAAATGGTACAGATATATAGACAACATCTTTTGTATCTACAATGGAAACTCAGATGAACTGTCAGTAGTAGTGCAACTGCATCCCTGAAATAAAAGTCAATTCCAATAAGAGTGGTGCTTTTGTATCATAGTAGTGAATGTTTGTTTGCTGGCATGTCCTGTAAATGATCTCACCTCAGAACAGCTTTTGTTGCAGACAACAGGTTTGCAGGTAATGACGTTCAGCTTGGTAACGGGATTCATGTTGGGGCCACAGTAACACTCCTGGCAAGGCCCAGGTGTGGAGGACCCCACTGATATAGGTTTTACTGTTGTTTCTGCACTCTCTTGCTCCAATGACAGTGCTGTTGTTCCTGAAGGTTGTCCTGCTACTGATGGAACTTCCAACGGTGCTTCTGATGGTGTTTCTGGTATTTGTATCTTGGCACCAGGCTACAGAATTACATGTCATATATTGATAGCATTAATCAAGTATTCTGAGGGAGCCTTCAAACCTGCACTTCAATTCAAACACACCAAGAGGTACAAACATAAAGTGTGACTGTAAGCCAGTAGGTTTTACTTTTTAACTTCCGAATACTTATTTATGTGTTTGTTTAATAATTCTGGTCTGACAAAGAACAAATGAAAAAAGAAGTAATTATGAATATTGTTAAGGACAATTGGACCTTTTGGGATGCATCATGCAAAACAACATAATGACTCACATGCACGTTACCATTTTCACCAATGACTTTGAATGATTATATCACTCCTAGCAGCTTTGGAACACTGATCGCTATGCTACGATGTACTATGTTATTGTGTAGTAACTGTGTGATTACCATGTACTCAGTCATGTTGTAGACGCATACACCCTTCGGAACTGCAGAAACCAAAACAAGACATTACTTAGTTTAACACAGACACACAAACAGGTGTGCAGGGTGGAAAGCATTCATAGACATGGCAGGGAGAGGAATGTTTGAGGTGTGTTTCTGCATCGAAACTTCTAAAAGAAACCTCTTACAAGCTCTGTGTATGTTTTTTTTTTTTCAGGAATATAGCTCTGAATTACATATGGTACACACAGCAGATAGAACAAGTTGATTGATTAAAGGTTCATACCACATTCGTAGGATTGGCAGCAGGTGCTGTTAGTGATTTTGAGTTGGAAGCCCACCGAGCAGGTGATTGGAGCGGAACACAGGCTTACATTGCATTCTGTTGGAGACAAAAGGATTGAATAATTATCAGTATGTGAATGAGGAGATATGGATACTTTTGCCATTGATAGAACCATAACAGCACTTCTGCATGTTTAGATCACTAGAAGTAAGCAAGAGACTATGCTAAGCTCAACTCTCTTTTTAGAAGGGCTCTGCTCACACTTCCATTCATTTATTACTGTCTTGTACAATCAGTCTGATCTGCTGATCACTGAGCAGCTTCACTGAAGCAGTTACATTAAAGAAAGCAATGTCTTTGTCTTGACTTGCTTTGCTCTGTTTTTCAGATGAAAAGCTTGTCAGGGCCTTTAGACAGGCAGGCATGTCTGGACGACACTTTTCTTACAGCAAATGCTGTATTTTTTGAGAAATATACTGTTGACCGAAATTACAAAGCCCATGATTATGCACTTTAGTATGTATGTCATAAAGCAATCACATTACTGTGCTAATTCAGATTGCCTTCAGTGACCTGTCTGGCTGGTCTGAACTGTTTTGTCCACATCACTAAAAATCAGGGCTATTTGAACACTGTTGACTGTTGAAAATCAATAGCTCAGTAACTTCCTGTACATACTGTATGTTACAACTGAGTTATGTTTTTACTACTAATGTAATTTGACAGATCTAGCACTTAGATTGCTGTGTGCATTGTAATTTGAACCAGCATTAACTTGTTCATCCAGATATCAAAATGCATATCACTTGCTGACATGAAGTCACAATAGGCTGTGCAGTTCAAACTTCTACACCAATTCCAGGAAAATAAACCATGTGTATAATTCTTGGCTTTTAACTGTGTGTTATCATCAGCCATACAGTTTTACATCTAGTTCAATGTCATGACAACTGACCACATGATTGTGTTGTGCAGCATGTGTCTGTTTTGTTGACCAACTGCTGTCCAGGTTCGCTGCAGTTAGGACTGTGCACTGATGGACACTGAACAGGCTGACACTCGATGCTCATGGAATCCTGGTCACACCTACAGTTGTTGCAGTCACTTGTCCATGTGTCACCAGGCTGGTTAAGGGGAACAAACCAGTTTAGACACACAACACATGCTTTAATAGCAAACATAATGACATGTGTCAGGCAGAATTCTCACCACTCTGGGTTTTCCATCAGGGCCAATACAATCTGAAATTCAAACACAGACAACTGGTTGTAAATATATAGGTGTGACTGCTAATGTTTTGGTGAAAAATGTTCCATGATCCAGAGAAGCCAAGTTTTCGATACAATCTCTGCTTACCACAGGAGGTGACACATGTGTCATGCACTGTGTTGAATAAGGTGGTGCCATTAGGACAGAAACAACCCTCTTTAGTGGATGGTTTGCTATATGTCTGGAACTGCTTGTTGTATCTGGTGTGAGAAATGGAAGGGCTGGTTATGACAATGGTGTAAACACTTTACCTTTACCTATGATGCAGAATTATTCAAACTGTCACTCTCAAATAGAGTAATAGTATTTCATAGTAGATCCTTCTGGCTCTAATCAAGTCTGGATATCTGTTTACGAGAGTTTTGTATTGAAATATTCATTATATAAAACTTCAATTGATCCTCAAAATCTGATTAATGCCAGAGATATCCATCTCACACACTGAAAAGCAATAACACAACTTTCAGTAGTGACATTAAACATGTCATGATTCAGTGCTCAGTCGTGGTGTGTAAATGTTAAGATAGCTAAAACAAAACAAATCATATTGCTGAAGTCGTCTTTACCTGTTACTGCATGTTGGCTCTATAGATGGACCACATGCCATGTAAACTTTATTGCTTGGACACTTGAGCTCTGTAAGACGGAAATATGTTTAATATACGTTTCTCAGAACGACAAAAAGTATTGTAACAAGTATTGTACACTGTTGAATTTATATCTCACCACACAGCCCGTTGGTAGCGTTCCTCCAGTCAACACAGACTCCTGCATTAGAGCACTCAGTGGCATAGGCCTCAAGGCTGGAGCAGGTGGCATTGCTACTCTTGCAATTGTCAGCCAAACAGGCCTTCATAAATGGTGCTGGGGATATGACTGAGTTGCATTGTGCAAATACACTAGAGGGGACATATGAGTCACAACAGTATGTCAGTATAGACAACATCAAACAACTCTGCACACAGTGACAGGAAGAATGTAAGCATCATTTAAGATGATTTAACACAGGTCTGCAGTAAACATTAACTTCATAACACAAATGGTTATTTTTTGTGTGATTTAGGAATATGGTATATTTTAAGGGCATAAAATGCAGGCAAAATTTGAAAAAGTTCAACAATAAAAAGGATCAGAAAAAATGACAAATGATTACAAAACGCAGGTTGTGTCTTTTAAATAAGAAAATAATCTAAAAAAAAAAATACAGTTATTCCACAAAAGTAGTCTCCAATGTATTGAACTATCCATGAAAACAATAAAAATATTACTAATAAGAGAAATAAGTGGAACAAATCCTAAGTTTTCAATAGCAGGCAAATGGACTTCTTTTTTCTTGAAAATGTTTTTTAATGTGTAACTTTGATGAGGACCTGAACGACTGAGAAACTACAGATAGGTGGAAGATAAAGTTTTGGAATATTTTGTGGTTTCCCTTACCTGCTGGTGAGGAGATTACAGACGTCAGATTTGCAAACTTGCTCTGTTGTTAAGTGCGAAGGTTCTGAAGTGGTCGTGGGTGGTTGTGTAGTAATTGGTGGGCTTGTGGGGGTGACACAGGATGAACCCGGGACTTTCCACTGACCTGCAGATGTTGAGCAGTTTTCCACCTGACCATTTGGAGAACGGCATTCATTGGCCTGGGAGTTGTCACATGTCCCTAGTAAAGGAGACACAGCAGAATGAAGACAGAGCAACTGACTTCATACATGAACCAACTCCCTATAGAGATTTGTTTGTAAGAAACATGTATGATCATGTTCAGAATTTGTGTGCCAGGTGTACCATGAAATGTGGAGAACAAAGTGCGAGAAAGCCCAAGCCTAAGTATCATGACATACAGCAGTGGGACAGGAGATGTATATCTGTGTATTTATGTGTCTTTGTCTGTGTGTGTGTGTGTGTGTGTGTGTGTGTGTGTGTCAATCCTGGGTGGAAAGGGTGACTCTGGACAAGATGCAGATACATACACTCATTATTTCGTAAAAGTCCCATGTGCATGTCTCTCTATATATATGCTCCTGTGTGTGATTAGTACAATTCAGCTATGCAGTCACACGTGCACATGCACACATGTACACAGAAAGTATGGGCTGTTGTGGTAAACTTTCCACGTCTGCAAGTATGCGGGAGTCTGCTCAGCAGTAGTGAGCATATCTGGCAAAATTGTGCGCACTCAGAATCAGTGACAGCAAAGAAATCAAAGAATATTAGTGAGCTAGAAGGTTTTGCACATGAGCAATGGAATTCCTAAAAGCAGGTACAACAGGCAGTTCTTAAATGCCCTTTGGTTACAAGGGGGAGTGAAATTTTTTAATCCATTTGAACTAATGATTTCGCTAAGTAAGGGTTAAGGATTCTGGTAACTTACCACACTGTCCCTCAGTGTTTCCTTCAAAGAGGGAATAGGGAAGGTCAATGCTAAATGAGGAGCCCCTATAGACCACTTTTGTGTTGATTGCCTTTATCTCCAGTGTGATCACCATATCTGTGCTGGTGAGTTGCAGTTCAGAATTGCTGTATGCGGGATAAATGCGTTTCTGATTTATATATACCTATAGGAGAAGCAAACAAAACATTACAGAAGACTATCACACAAGTACAACACCTGTTGGGTCATGCATTGCACTACTTTAGTGAGTGAGAAGTTTAAGTGTGATTCTGACACTAAAACAACTTTGCAACATTGCTTACCACATTAGTTTCTGTTCCTGAAGTCTTCAACTGAGTCAAAACAACGTTGTAGGATTGGTATGTAATAATGAGACCTTTGGGACAGAATGTGTCCGTTGAAGGATCACAGTAACGATTATTTACTATCATAGTTAAATTATATTTAGCAATAATTTCTTTGATCAAGTAGTAAGAGCAGTTCTCCATGAAACTATACGATGTTCCATCAAAAGTCAAGTAGTGGGATCCACCCCAGACACTGCACACACCTGCAGGATTAAAAGAAGGAAAAATGGAAATTATAAATAGGAACTAAAATAGGCAGAAAAAACAATTATCTCTACCAAGAAGGTAATTCTTAGCCCTTTTCAGACATGGGAACATTGCTGTCGAACCCATTAAAGATGGGATTCTGTTATTTAGACATAGGTCAGTTTTTTGTTAAATTTCCTCACGGCCTCATTCAGACATACCCCCACAGTGCCAGAAAGAGCCACGGTACACACGTGATATCTGTCATTTTACGTGAGAGTAGATAATACACCAAGTGGTGTAAATTCAACAATTTCCCTGAGGTTTGCACCAAAGGGATCAATAAAGTTCTGTTCTATTCTATTCTATTCTATTCTATTCTATTCTATTCTATTCTATAAGGCATAATAATGTAACAATGGAGTAAATCTAAACTAATAGCAGAAATCAAATTGTCTAAACAACAAAAAACCCAGTTTATTTCTCAGAACTTAACCTGAGGATGGCCGCAATGTAACAAAATAATTAACTGCGCTGATAAACTGTGACACTATCACCTGTCTGAGGTGAAGAAAAGTTCACAGTGTGACTGAGATGCTAGTCACTTCTTTCTCTATGTGTTATCATAGCTGATTAATGGTGTTTCTGCTGTTGCTCCTTGCATCAGTTTATGCTGTACATTGTGCTTTATTGCAAGGGCCTGTTGTGCCAAACACATGCTATATTTATCAAATAGATGCTCCAGAAGCAATTAAGCTATAATTAATAAACACAATTAATGATTAATGTAATGCAAACTAATTGTGGACACGGACTTTTGGTTGGTGTTATCAAACTTAGATTTAAATGCAAAATCATTCATATATATTTTTGGCAATGTTTTGAAATTATGCCTAACTACAATTTTAATTATTAATTTATAGTGACATTGCAATTTAACTTCCTGACACAAGATTCTCTCCAAAGATTTTAGATATGTTATTGAAAGGTTACATATTGAACTTACATTCACATTCATAGTGAAAGCAACATCCATTGGCATCATAAACCTTGGAAACGTTGCGTCCATTGGAACAGATGGATTGATGCGAGGTAGGACAAACAGTATGTGTCTCTGTGATCTTGCCATTGGTGCACGTAGCTGTGGTGCAGTTATTTACCTTCCACGACTGTCCATTCTGAATAGAGACGGAGAAACAGTATCTCATGAGGATAATAAAGTGTTCAACTGTACTTCCATGAACTTATTGGTACTGGAGGTTGGACCAGAAATGATTAATTAATTAATTTTAAAAAAATGATTTAACCAACAACGATATGCAGTTAAACATTACCGTAATAGTACAATAAATAAAATAAAATAGGATTTGAAGTGTGGTCTATTGTCTTGTTTCTAATATCTGTGACTATACATGGGGTGCTTTTACCAAATACACAAGTGCAAGAAAACAAGTTTGCTGGGCTGTCTACCTCTCTGGGCAGGTAGGCAGCAAACTAAAGCATCTGACACCAAGACTAGAGTTGCCACACAGTCTCACAGTTGGGAAACAATCTCAGCGTGCCACATGGAAATGTCAAGTCTTCTGGTTTGGCTCTGCACCCTGTGTCATTACTAAACTAGGGCTTTATCAGAGTTTAACAGAAAATTCCCCAAATTCTAAACAAAATACCATGTTTCTACTCTTTCCAAAACCCCACCATGAATAAAAACATATTTTATCTTCTATCTCACCTTTCTTGATGGATACACGTCATTGCAGTCAAATGTAGTTGATGGAGTTTCTGATGTATTGACAGTAGAGGTAGGCGTAGTTGTGGCCAGAGGAGTCGAGCTTGAAATTGTGGCCTCTGTCGTGGTGCTAAACATTGTTGCAGTTGAATGTGCAGTAGTGCTGGGTATTGGTGTCGTAGAACATGGGTTCTGTTTTGTTTCAACTTTACAAGACGCATTGCAATATGCAGAATAACACCATCCCAAGCCATCAGTGACATTGTACACCAAGTCCCCTGTGAAAAAAAGCACAGAATTGATAAGAGTTTATAACACAAAATTAAGTTGTAACTGATTAATAAGGAGTTAGCAATGGCCTGATAATCATTGACTACTGAGGTAGTATTTTGCAGCTAATCTGTAAGACCATTATACTATTTTACTTAGGGATGCACAAAAACAGTAACTAATAATTACATAATGCAGCAGCTTCTGAAACTGATTGTGGCCGCTCTTATTGTGATTCCACCAGACATGACACAGCATGTTTCAGAAACAGACAGCAAAAAGCAACTATTTAAATACATAGTTCACTGACCCATGGTGGAAGGCTAAACATCAAAGAATATATGCATGCAGACACAGTGTCATAAACTCATGCCTGGTGGAATCCATGAACATCCGCATTTTGGAGACACTGGACTTGTGGAATTGCATTAATTTACCACTGTTTTATTTGTCAGAAAAGCAATAACCCTGTGTCTGGAATTTTAATTCCATTGGATTAGAATTGATTTAGATACAGTGACTTCTAGCACAATCACAATATCAACACTGACGCTCTGAAGGCACACCCCAGTTTGGTAAAATCCCAACCACTGATCTGGTAACATCACCATCAAGTTTCCTACAAGTTTCCTACGAGATCATACATAGAAATCACTCACTTACAACAAGTCTTCAAAAATGACCAGTTCATTCTTTCAACATGGTATACCAGAACTACAGAGATCCAAAACATCAGCTTTTTCAATATCAACAACTTTAAGGTTAAGGTTTAAGGTTAAGTTTTTGAAATTTGTCTAGCACAACCACAAACACCTCCAAACTAAGCGATGAAATGCTAAAACTTGCAGACCTAAACAAACGTCACAAAAATACAAAGCTCAAAGTGCAAACCAACTCACCTGCTCTATGCCGAGTAACACAAATTTACAACTTATACAATATAAAACTCTTCCAGTGTACAGAGTATATACTTCATCATGCCAACCAGTTCACTTATCCTCTATCTACAAATCTGTGAACTCAGAACATTTGCACAAGCCTTGCAGTTAAATACCAAAACCTATTACTCATTTATCTAGCTTTCATAACCTACTTTACTTTTTCATTTAAAAAATACAGAGAGCTGAACAGCTTTATTAGACCATCTGTCTAACTTGTTTGCACTCAGCTCTCGACATTTTCCCATTTTGAACAGGAATGAGGAATTTCAAACTGAATTCACCTTTTCATACAAAAAAATTGAGCTGGCTCACTGGGCGTCTCTGAGAAGTGAGAAATTAATCAAGGATAATATTCAACAACTACAACTAATGTTTCTGTTCCGAAATGCAAGTAAATAACTATAACTGACACCTTAGTCAATAAATAATAATGTGCTTTATGATTTTTTTCTTTTCTTTTTTTTGTGAAACAGTAAATTTGAAAATTCATGAATAACAATAATATTATAGCTTTCAAAATATCATTTCGGTTACAGAACTTCTACACACTGGTGTATTAACCATTACAGAAACATGAAAAACGATTATGGTAATTACCAATGCTGGCAATTTAGGGTAGCTGTGGTATTAACCTGACATTGGATGGTGGTCTAAAAAATGTGTTAAGCACTGTATATAACTATTGTAAATTATGTTACTTTTTAAACTTACAGTAACAATTTTATATATACATACATAAACACACACATATACTCTCTGATATATATATATATATAT